ATAGCCACTGCCCAGTCCACATGGCTGCATAACTCAGCCCAGGGTGTTTGCTCACCTCCTCACCCAGCATCAGGGACCTCTGCAGCCACTTCCCCCACCTTGAAATTTCCAGTTTGAAACTATTTTTCTTCCATATGGCTGCAAAGAAACATCCAAATATGGCCAGAAGCCAGTCTGTCCTCCCCAGTTTGAAAGCAGATGGCTCCAGTGAGACATGACTCTGTATTCTAAATAGCAACCATGAAACCTTTGGGCTTATTTCTCAAAGAAAGGACTGCAAAATAAAAATGGGATGTGAATTTAAAGTGATGTAGCTATCTCACCTGTCCTTCCATGATGAAGACAACCAGTGTGCCCAACTCACTTTGGCTGTAACATGAGAGCATGCCCACAAGAGTGGGCATAAGCTATTGCCTGGTGTAGGGTGGGTCATTTTAGCTTGTAGTAACAGCAATGAAGGGCAAGAAGAAGAGGCCCCGGTCCAGCAGCCTGTGTGTGTGGCAAGCAAGTAGCAATGGTTGAAAGAGTTTCCCACTCTCTGGCTCTCACAGTCAAATACTGCTTATTTTCCAGCTTAGCTTTGGTGGGATACAACCTTGGGATATGTTCCAAGTACATCACCAGGCTGTTTTCTGCTTGGCCACTCATTTCCAATGGCTGTTGTAAAAGTTTGCTGGTAAAAGTCTATTACTGTAGTGCACCCCAGCTGCTACTTTCTGCTTGTGTCATTTCTCTACAGAGGCTTCATTCAAATAACTTTCCACCTGAGCACACAGTCACTTGCGCACATGGCTGCAAGGTGCTAATAGCTTTGCTGTGGGTTGAATACCTGTCCCATGCCCGTAAGACTTACCTGCTCAGAAGCTCTGCCTGTGTGCACAGGTGCGCGGGTTGGCTTGGAGGACATGGACAGTCTGCTTGAGCATGCATGGCAGAAGCTTCTTTGAAAATTTGACTACAGATTTGTACTGTTTGGGGTTTTTTTTTTTCCTTAATAGGAGAGTCCTTCTTTCTTTGTCAGAATCAAGCTTGTTTTCCTCTGAGCTCCTGATGTATTCCTGTTATCCAGGATTACTGTCAATCGTGTTTATCAGAAGTTTTATGCAGTTTGTATTCATAAAGCTGGAAGATCTGATTAGGTCATTAGACTTTGAAAGAAAACATACCAGCCCACGGAGGTGAATGCTCTCTGGGTTGAGAAATGTTTCCTGCCCTATTCAAAGCCAGGAATTCCTAATATGTAGGCTTTTCCTTCTGGGTTCCCTATTCAAATTACTTTTTCCTATCTCTTGTATCAAGTTCACTGAGAAGGGTAATCAAACATTGGACACTGGTTTGGCAATAGCTTTCCATACAGGCAGGCAGTGCAAGGAAGGGAGCAGTGAAGGAAGAGAGGGGCTGGACACATGGGAGTTACAGGAAGACAAGGAAGAAGAAGAGGGAGTCATGAAGCCTTTTGTGTTTGGGAGAGGTATGTTTTTCCCACCTCCAGGCCACCTCTGTGGAGACGTGATCAGTTGACAAGGAGGTCTGAGTGCAGGGGTGAAGACTAGTGCTCCCCTCTTCTGTGCCAGATAAGCCATTTATCATCACTGCCCTTCCCTGCAGCCCAAGGCTTTGGTTTCCCTGTGATCCAAACATTTCTGTAAATGTTTCTGTCTTGGTCTGATGTGAACAAGCCAGAAGGGAAAGCTTTGTGCTGTAGAAGGAGCAATGTGTGTACAGCTGAGGCCTTCCTTGCTGCTTCTTACATTAGAAATTCATGCCTGGCCTATCCATGGCACACAGAGCAGTGCTATGGGAGTGCAGCAGCAGGACAGGAGGGTCTTTTTGCCAAAACCAGCGAGTGAAATAGGGTACATCCAGTTAAGTCAAAGAAAAGAACACTTAGGAGGAAAAATTGTTGACAAAGAGACCAAACTCTTTCCAATTTGCAGATGTCTGACCATTCCAAATCTCCTCTAATCTTGCCAGAAGCCTCTCTCCTGCTGAACAGGGGTGCGTGTGAAATATCCCTGCTGTTCCCAAGGGGGGAAACAAGGGAGAAAAGACTTGAGAAACCAAAGGAAAGGAAACATGACAGCAGAACAATGAACCTGCCTGGCTCTCCCAGGGAGAAGGTTACAGCTTCCATTGAAAATGTCCTTTGAAGGTAGTTTTCACTATAAACAGATTTTGCTGCCATGTCACAGGAAAGCTGGGAAGGAACCAAATCAAAACAGACTGGAAACAATTCCTCAGGAAGAGCTGCTGAGCAAAGCCCCCTTGCGAAGTGGCTGGTGCCCCCGTGGTTTCAGCTGCTCTGGGTACAGCCCCAGGATCTGTGCATCCTGCAGTCTGCCTATGGAAGGCTTTGTGCCTGCAGATAGACCTGGCAGAAATGGATTTCTTCTCTCTTGCAGGAGATGTTGAGCTTACCCTGTTCCCTGCCTGGTGCATTATCATTGTTTTTGAGTGAAGGCTCAGAAATGCCATTAATTTCTTCTCACTTTATAATTCCCACGACACCCAGGTCAAGCCTGTATGAATTTCTCTTTGTAGATTAGTTTAAAGAAAAGTCCTTCTGCCCTGGTTTTTAAAAGACAGCCTCTTAATTGAACCTGCATTTCAGAGGCTGGTAGATGCAAGCCCTCACAGTACCTGGGATGTGGACTTAGGTTGCATCTGCACTAAAAGGCTTAGTCTGTGGTTCCTGTGGGTATGCAGAAGGGACTTTCTGTCAAAGGCTGGGGGATAAATAAGGCACATCTATTTAACTCAAAGAACACTATGCAGGAAAGAAGTCATAGAATCGTAGAATCATTTAGGTTGGAAATGACCTTTTAAGATCATCAAGTCCAACTATAAACCTAACACTAAGTCTACCACTAAGCCATGTCCCTAGAATGTTTGTGAAGGCCCCAAATCATGCCTGAGAATGTGAGAAATATTTCCCCATGCTTAGGAAGGAGGGATATGGTGCCTCTGGCAGGTCGCTACAGCTCTGCATAGCTGTGTGAATGTCTTTGAGCAATACTGAGAGAGGAGTACTACCTTTCCCAGGGCAGCAGAGCTGTGTTGGGATGGTTTGGCACTGCATGAAGGCTGCCTCCCCAGCCACCCTAGGCTGGACACAGCCTGCCACATCACTGACAGAGTTTTGCTATGTCCCTGCGGGCTGGTGGCTCTCCTTGCCCTTCCTGGCCCTTGATCTCCAGACCATGCTGTTTCCTGGAGGGGCGCCTGGCAGGTTCCTCCCAGCCTCTTCCTGCCCCTGACTCTCTTTTTCTCTCTCAGTCCACCGCCAAACCTCGCACCACATCCATCATCCCCTTTCCACTCACCTCCCTTCTGCCCTCAAGTTCCAAAAGAGGCCCCCCCGCACCAGCCGGAGGAAAAAAAGAAGGAGGAAAAAGAAGAAAACCTCAGTACCCCCCTCGGAGGTCACCCCCACCATCCAAGAAGAGGACGAGGAGGAGGGAGAAGAGGAGGAAGAAGAAGAAGAAGAAGAGGAAGAAGGAGAATCTGAGGCAGAGGAGGCCCAGGAGAAAGAGATCTCTGCAGAGTCTGAGGGCGAAGCTCGTGGGAAAGACACGTCCCCTAAGCTGGAGCCCCCAAGCAAACCAAAGGCAAGGCTAGGGTATCCCTGCCTGGATGGGGTCTGGAAATTGGGGAGGTGGAAGAGGAACCAATGCCAGGAGGGTGCCAGGGTGCATGGTCAAGGGAGTGTACTGCTCAGGGGGAAGAGGTTGAAGCTGTGCAATAGCTGTGAAGCTGTGCTGTGCAATATTGTTGGAAGAGTGGTTTTCTTATTGCCTAGCAGAGATGGGCACTGGAGGACAGTGAGAGATAAGCCATTGCATGGGGTGGATGCCAGGGAGGGTGTGCATGACCATTGTGCGGGTGTAAAACCCATGGGAGAAGATCAATGTGTCTGTTCTTAGGGCACATAGGATAGGATATAGGCACATAGGATATGCTCAGTATGACCAGTTGCAGGTTATGGGGCATGTGGGGGAAGCTGGTGTGACCCGTTCTATCAGGTGGGGACATGGGGAGGTTCTGCATGTCAGGGATTGAGGCGAAGGCTGCCTGCCCCGACTCTTGCTGTCAGGACTATTGTCTCTGCAGTTCACCATCGGCAGCGATGAGGAGGAGTCTGGCAGTGCTCTGGCCCCCGCACAGTTCCACGTGGAGGAGGAGTGTGGCATCCTATCCCCCATGCCACGCTTCACCGACCTGCTGCAGGACAAGGGCCCTGCCTCCCTCTGCAGGTAGGTGAGCAGTCCGAGCTGCCTGCTGCTCTCCCCGATGCGGGGTTGCCACACAGACCATGTGCCCAGGGGTTGTGCCTGTGCCCAGCCTGAACTTGTCTGCTGAGCCAGAGGGCACATGGGGACTGGAGGGAGAGCAGCTGTGAGCAACATGACTACTTTCCAGTGGGACAGTCACTCCCTGGATCTCCTGTGACCTCCTTGGGTCTGTGGGATCCCCAGGGTGTGGGTTTGGGGGCACAAGGTTGCACACCTGGAGTACCCTTCCTCCCAGCTAAGTTGCGCTGTCGTGCTGACCTGCAGGCTGGGAAGGGGGCCATGAGGCCATTGACTCAGCTGGGTCCCCAACCCTGACTAGTAGCTGGTCCTACTCTGCAGTGGGGGAGTAGAGGAGCAGAAGGGGCAACCTTTGTGTTTCGGGATAGTTGACTCCTGGCTCTGGGTCAGGGCTGGGCCTTGGGACCTCAGCCCCTGAGAGGGGCCAGCGCCCATCCTCATTTTCCCTGTTCTCTACCATCGGTTCTTACAGCCTTCCTGGGCCTCGGGAACGACTGTCTCGTGGCTGGGAGAAGCGCAAGCCCTGGGGCCAGGTGGCAAGTGGACAACGGGTTACCTATGACTTAAAGGAGAGGATGTGCATCGGCAGCATGACCACGCTGGAGAGTGCAGCATACCAGCGTGTCCCCACAGATGAGGCCGAGGCCCAGATGCTGGCGTCCGCTGACCTGGACGGCATGAAAAGTGAGGCTTTGTGACGCTACCTGTGTTACTAGTGTGCATGTCCCTTGCTTCTCCCTGCTTTTCCCTCTTTCTTAGCACCTCCAGGCATGGTCTTCAGCCTGCTGTAGGATGTGGTCCTTATCTCCCAGTCCCCCAGCCCCAGCTTTTCCAGACCTGGCTCCTCTCTGTTAGCTTTGCAATGTCCACAGTACCAGTCCCTAAGTTTCCAGCACCTCTACTCACACCCACCCCATGAATTCTTCCTCCTTCACCCACCCCACTACCCTCCCTGGTTCAGGGCTCCTTGCATTTCCCTGAGACCCAGCTCTCTCCTCTTCTGACACACTTTCCCAGTGATCAGCCCTCTGTGCAACACGCCAGCTCTGGCATCACAGAAAACCTGAGATGAGGAGCCTCCCCTCTCCTCTGCTCTCTGGATGGAGAGGCGGCTGCCCCCTCCGGAGCGCCTCGAAGGGGGACTGCCCCTGTGCGCGGCTGAGGTCAGACAGAAGAGACGTCATGGAAATGCACTCTCCGGGCCCCAGGACATGGAGAATTCAATAGGTTGCTCCGCAGGCTGGAGAGGGAGGGAGAAACCAGAGGGGAGCGAGGGAGAGAAGTGGTGCTGCACGCACAGCCGGGCTGTCCCTGGGCCACGGGCACTGCATCCCCGGGCATCTGGCACAGAACCCCGCGGCAGAGCAAGGATCCTGCTCGTGAGGAGCTGGTGGGGCAGCACCCCACAGAAGCATCTCTGGGTGGAGCCAGCCTTCCTGGGACTTCGTCAGTCCCCAGGGGCTGCTGCAGCCGGCGCCTTCATGCCCCGTGAGGAGAGGAGCACGGCACCGGGGCTGGGCCCGGGACTGCGGTGAAGCCCCTCCAGGGGCGCAGCCTGGCTACCCCATCCCCTTCTCTGAAGGCAATTGGCTCATAGCACCTGACCCCTGACCTTCACAAGGACAAAATGACAACCCTTCAGGAGAGAGAGGAGGCAGCAAACGAACTGGACGGGGGCAGCAGCCCGGAGGTAGTGATAAGCACCCGCATTCGTAACTCGCTCGGCTATGAAGATTTTGATGAATTTGCTTTTAATTTTGAAGACTATGATTTATGGGAGGCCATCAGAAACCATCTGGGCTACTCAGGCGGGGAGCCCACCTGTAAGTACCGAAGCAGTGACCCCACGGTTGCAGCTGTAGAGCAGAGCCCCCAGCTAAAGTGTGTATCCCTCACCCTGTGCTTGCTGTCTGCACCCTCTCCATGTCAGGTTGGTCTCCTGGTTTAGAGGAGGTACGGTCTGCCCCACTGTGAGTCTGGGGACACTGGAGGAGCTGCCTGGTGTCTGTGTGTCTGTCCGAGGTCTTTGTACAGATCTGTGTCGTAGTGCTGAGGTGCTTCCCTGTGTGCGTCTCGCTTGAGCAGCTCTGGAGGCAGCTGCATCTTGCTGTTTGTGCTTATCAGGATGTGGCCTGTGCCGTGGCCAGAGAAAAAGCAGCTGCTCCGAGGTGTGTATAAGGACAGAGACATTTCCCCTTCCATCTGTGGCACAAGGTGACAGTGTGCTGCTGCTCTGCTGGAATTCGAGCCGAGCTGCAGATCCAACAGCAGAGGTGGGTATCAGGTTCTCGGCTCTGCACCGTAGCCTAATGCCCAGAGGAAAAAACAACCTAGTCCCTGTGTCTGCAGGCTTGACTGTGGCTGTGAAACCTGCTAAAGGCAGGCTGGCTGGTGTGCCAGGAAGGGAGAAAAGAGGAAGGAAGCGAGAGTGGGAAAAGCAGGGAAAGAGAGAATAGGAATCCTGAGAGCAAAGAACGTCTTTCTGTTCTCTGCATTTGTTTCTGTACCCGTGCATCCCTTGCGGAGACCTGGATCTCTGAGCCGTCCCAGGGACTGCACAGAAACAGGAGCCTTGCTCCCACCTCATGCAGGCGGCCCTTCCTAGGCAGGTGGTGGTAACTCGTAGTTAAAAGGCAGCTTTGTGTGTCACCTTGGGAGTGACACTGTTCATAGCCATAGCTCTGTGGTGGTTGCCCAAAAGTCCTTGTCCAGATCACATGTTAATTTTTCAAGGGATTTTAGGAGCTCGCGCAGAAGGGTGATGTGGTCCCAAAACTAGCCTGCTTACCAGCTTTGCATGCAGGGAGTGGGGAGGCTGAGCGCTTGCATCAGGGACTCGGGATGCCTTGGTTCAGCTTCTGGCTCTGCCACAGCATCTCAGTGTGATCTCGGGCAAAACACTTAACTTTCTGTGCCTCCCAGTCCCAACATCATGTTCTCTTTCTCAGCTGGCTCATCTTTACAAGCCTTTGGGGAAAAAATGTCTGCCTATGGGCTTCTGCAGAGATCAGCAAGCGGGGATTTGCTTCTGACGGGGTCTGCTACTTGTTTGATAGACAGTATAATAGCAGCAAAGTTCAAAATAGAAGCCTGGAGCAAATTGGCTCCATCAGCTGCCCTGAACTGAGCAAACTACGTTACAAGCGTGAGAAATTGCCCCAAGTTCACCTGGGAAAGGATGGCTGTTCTTGGGAAGGTAGAAGGGGAAGGTCATTTCTGCAAGGTGTGATACATGTCACTTATAAAGTGGGGAGATTTGGCTTGCTAGCAGTTAACACATTCATTGATTGCTACAGCTAATGCTGCAGGTGCTTGAAATAGGATGCGCTGTACAGTCAACTCTTAATTCTTTCTGCACAATGAATCCACACTGTGGATTAATCCTGCAGAGAGATATGACAGAGGCAGAGATGGCAGAGACACCAGAGTCAGTTCTGTGCAGAGCCAGCTCACGTCCAGCCTGTGCTACTTGCCCAGCTATTTACTCCATGGCAGTACCTCTTCCAAGACCAACTTGCATCCAGGAGGAATTTATTAGCTTTTGAGCAGAGTAGAGTCCTTGTTAGACTTGAGCTGGTCTCCTTGCACTCCTTTTAGTGTTTGGAGCATGGGGAGTGCTGTGCAGGAACACTTGGATAGCAGCAGGGATGGGGTCCAGCTGTCCCTATCACATTGAACTCGGCATCAGCCAGGAAAGATGTGCACTCTTTGCAGGGCAAGGCAGTAGCTTTCTCCAGAAGCTAGCATAGGGTTTTGACTTACTGCATGTCAGTTAGCATTTTGTTTAGTCTAATTTTAAATATTTCAGGAGATGGGGTTTCCATCTTTTTTTTTTCTTGCTATAATTTAACCATTGGGGTACATGGGAAGTGTGCACCATGTCTGTGATGCCAGGATAGTTTTTTTCTAGTACTGATACAAATATTCTCGTGCCTCTTTCTGGGCTTCCTGCTTATGGACAGAGGGTAATGAAAGGAGAGAAGCAGGAGCTAAAACATAAATTGAAGTCAATTGCCCACTGAGTTGGACTGATTAGCACAGACACTCTGGGGGAAGACTTTAACCAGTGCAAAGTCATATTTGTCATCTTCAGATTTAAATTGGTGGAAGAGGAACTTGGTCATCCCAAGAAATTTGACTGTGGAAGCCAACATAGCAAGATCTTCTGGAGGAGACTGTAGGAGATGCTGTGTGGGAGGGTGACATACAACCAGTTCATTGTAGTGGAGCCATCATAGGAATCACTCTCTGTCCTCAGATGTTGTCACTGTCTCATGCTCTGCTCCTGGGGAGCACTGGAGAGGAGGTACAGCAAGAGCTGTCCTTGGCTGCTCCATCTCACCCTGAGGACTTTGTCTTCAAGCAAGGAGGGCAGAGCTATGCCATGGGCACATCACCCTTTGGTCTCAGTTCAAGATCCTGTCCTGAGTAAGGACCCCAGACTTAGGTGCTCACATAACTTTGACTTCCATTTGGGAGAAGCACCAATCTGATGGGATACAGAAAGGCTCTCTGCAGAGCAGCCTGGAGCACCTCAGCTGGGCTCTACATGAGACCCCAAAGCCTGAATTAAGTCTGTGTGTCCACCCTGCTCCTATGAATTTTTTCCCCCAGCTGGCATCTCAGTGGCCACAAGCACTGCTATGGGAGAGCAACAGAGTGGATCACTCCTTAGTCTTCTGTAGGGCTCTGGAGGTGCCTTCACTGGCTTGCTCTGAACCTGGAGCACTTCAGCTCCTGTCCCTGTCACCAAGCGTGGGAGTCACTGAAGATGCTGGCAGGAAATTTGTCCCCTTTCATCTTATCTGTCCTCCTGCCATTTGATGGCTGGGACTGAACGCCTGTGTGTGCTTTCTAGGGCTGTTGCTGAAGAGCACTGTGTAGCAGGTTGTCATTGACACGGAGGAGGCTTGCCGTGCTCTGGGTGAGCATTCTGTCTTTCTGGGCAGAGTGTCCTCTGGCGCTGGGCTTCCAGGGACATGGTGAGAATGAGTCCCAGGGTGCATGGGAGAATCAGAAGCTGTAGAGATTGGAGCAAAGGTGTCAGATACCAAGATTATCTGCCTGGGGGACTGCAGAACCCACACCAAGTGTGATGAAGCAGCTGCAGTGTGTGCAGGAACTGATAAATCCATGCAAAACTTCGAGGAAGCCCCACACGTGCCTGGATCTCAGAAATGTTCATAGTGGTGGACAGTTATTGATTCCTATTGACATTGCAGTGCAGTAAGTGGAGCAAGGAGGAATCCGGCCATCAGTGGGACGTGCATCAGCAGACAGCCAATGGGGGAAAATGCCCTGAGGCTCAGTATTGATTCATTTTATATTAAATTTAATGACCTAGATTTCCAAGGAGCCAGGCCATGTTATGCATGGCCTGATGTTGTGTGTGTCTTTCCGTGCCAGAGATGCACGGATATTTTCCTGCAACATCAAAGAGACCGCCTGGCCTTCAAACCCAGTGCTTTTTGGTACCTCTCATGCCCTGAGAGCTGCAGGGTGTTGAAGTTGAGTGCAGAAAGGTACGTGGAGTTTGAACATTCATCCCAGCCAACGGAGAGCTGCCTTGGTCCCCCATGGAGAAGATCTTGTCTTTGCCTTACAAGCAGACCCAACAAGCCTCAATGGACCAAAGCTGGGCAAAACCCCTGACTATGATCTACCTGGGGAAGTCTGGCCATCCTGGAGCTGGGCTGTGAGGCTTTCCCTATGGGCTGTCTGTGCTGAGGAATATACACGTGCTCTGTCTGGATAGTGTCCAGGGAAACTACCCTCCGTGGCAGTCTGTTGCCTTGGTGCTGTTTCTCTGGCATTGCAAAAAGGGCTGGCATGGTTGCGGCCAGGTTTTTGTTGGCACTGGCTAGCCAACAGCACTGGTAGCTTGGTGGTGGGTCTGTAATGCAGCCTCAACAGCTTCTCTGGAGGCTTCTGGAGGCTTTGATTCAGCCAGCCAAACTCTGTAACACAGACCTTTCAGAGGGCATTACAGCAGCACTGTGGATCATCTAGAAACAGCGATAGCTGCAGTTAACTGCCCAGCCTCCATGCCAGTCCCGGTCTGCACTGTTATCGTACAGTCTCATCGCACAATTAAATAAAACAGTCATTGATATTTCCATGTATCTCCCAGACCAGCAGCTAAATATCCTTCCCCTTCACTGCCCTTTATGGTTGCTGAGCACCAGGCCTTCCTCCAGTGGGAGAAATAAGCCCCAGCCAGGTGCCGCCTGCACTAGCTGGGTGCAGGGCTGTGCAGACAAGGCTTCAGGTTTGTTTTCTGTTGAGTGAGTATGGGGGGGTAGGGGGGTGGTTCATGCGCCACTTATTCAGGTACCATGAATAAAAGCTTTTGCAATGATGCTCCAGTGTATGCACAGCCTGGGAGGAAGTGTTCTTCGTGAAGGAATTAGCTCACAAATGTGTGGAAGAGCTGAAATTAGGCAGATGAGGAAGGAAGGATCTTCAAAGGTCTGGAGGATGATGGTGAGTGCTCCAGCTGCCAGGGCTTTGCTAGCATAAGCTAGTGAGAGAAGGGTGGGTTTAAATGTGTTTCCCTGCCAGACAGTGTGTTTTCACTAGACAAACTGGTGTTCTTATTTCCTTTCCCATGTCTTCAGGCCACCGTTTTGAAGATAACCCTGGTGTGAGGAGGCATCTGATGAAAAAACCGTCTCGAAGTCAGATCACCAGGACAAGCAAAAAATTAGCATCAACTCCATCTGTCAAGAAAAAGAAGAAGAAGAAGAAGTTGGATAGAAAGCCCCATGAGGTATCCATGTGCTGTCCTCCCACACTTGTTCAGAAGCCATAAATCAGGACTAGAAGCAGGCTTTTTATAAAGTGATAAATATGGTTTCAATATAATTAATTCTTTACATGACCTTGGGGGAGACATTTCAAGCTCTTAACTGTCATCAAGAGGGCTGAAAATACACTTTTTTTCAACAAAAGAGGAGATTTCTTTGAAATTGTAAAAGCTTTGACCTTAGGAAAGACATTAAAAAGTCACAGAAATGGTGGTGCTGTTATGGAAGTTGGCAGCACAGTAATGTCACCATCTCTAGTAAGTGTGGGAAATTTTGGGGGAAACCAAGAAACAGGCAGAGGACAAAACTGTCATAGTTTGGTAGAAAGGGTTGCAACATTGCATCATTCTCTCTCCTCTGCCCACGCCATCCGACTTCGAGCTTCCTGGTGCTCCATGTGCTGATGGAAGCTGCTGCTGTGCTGCCAGTGATATGTGTCCTGGCTGCCTCTGTTCACTAAACCTCTGGCTAACTAAGTCAGGCTTGCTCAAACAGCACTTTAGACCAAGTGGTACCTTGAGAACAAACCTGAGGCTTTCCACGTATTGCTGATACAGCTGTATGCATCAGGGGAAGTCTCATGTCCTCATAATTCACACTAGGTGTTTGTGGAGCTGAATGAGCTGGTGGTGGATAAGAACCAGGAGATGCACTGGAGGGAGACAGCCCGCTGGATCAAGTTTGAGGAGGATGTGGAGGAGGACACAGCAAGGTGGGGGAAACCCCACGTGGCTTCGCTGTCCTTCCGCAGCCTGTTGGAGCTCAGGAAGACGATTGCACATGGTGAGTCAGGAACCATAAGCCAGGGTTTGTGTCTTGCTCTGGGACAGATTTTGCTGGACAGCTTCTGTCGCTGTTTGGCCCCTCACTAGAGACACGCCAACAGTGTCTGTGTCCAGGCTCCATGTAGGGTCTGTGAAAACAGTCCGTCCTGCAGCCAGTTTGCCAGGATTTGCATTAGCCCAAGGGTGCCTGTGTTGGTTCCTTGCTCTGCTTTGCTGCTTCTGGGCACGTGACAGCTGCAACACCCAGAATTGCCTGGGCCAGCAGATCTTAGACCCATCTTTGGTGTGAAAAGGCAAGTTTGATCAGAGTGGGAGACTGAAATGAGAGGGAGATACCAGGGCTATCGGTGCATCTTGGAGCTTTCGTATTCTCTTGGGACAAGGGTTTACACAGAGGACATAGGACACTGGGGACATTCCTCAGCTGAGAGAATCTGTACCCTAACCAAAGCCTGGCTCCTGGTGCGACAGCTAACCCCAGAGTGTGTATGTGGTGAGGAGCATTGCACACTAGAAGCAGGGCTCTTCCCCTCCTGCTGGCAGGTGCCGTCCTCCTTGACCTGGAGCAGACCACTCTGCCTGGCATTGCTCACCTCATGGTGGAGACCATGATCATCTCTGACCAGATCAGAGCGGAAGACCGAGCCAATGTGCTGCGTGCCCTGCTGCTGAAGCACAGGTGGGTGGCATGTGACTGAGGGCTGCCAGGGCTCAGGGATTATCTGCAAGCCCCAGGTGGCAAGGGAGGTGGGTCCCTTCATGGCCACCACTCTCCCCCTCAGCCACCCCAATGATGAGAAAGAGGGCTTCTTCCCGAGGAACCACTCCAGCTCCAGCATGAACTCCATCGTGGGGAACCACCACCACAACCACACCACTGACACTTGCGTGCCCCTCATGGGGGAAGAGCGCATTGAGATGGCTGACCCCAAGGCCAATGAGACTGAGTGCAAGGAGGTGAGGGTGACATGGGGGGTTACTGCTTCTTTTTCTACACCCTGGGGACAACTGTTGGCTGGTGGCAGCCGTTGGTGCCCACCTCTGGGCCACTTCATGGGGGAGCCTTGTACTTGCAAGGGCTAAGATCCCCTGGATCGCCTGGGGCACTGGAAATCAGGTCGCTGCATTATGATTTTGGGACCTAATTTTAGCCTCGCACTGTATGCAGATATCTGCTTGAGCATGCAGTGGCAGCTGCAGCCCTGGCGCTTGCCGGGTGGCCTTTACTGAGGGTGCCTTGCCTGTGAAGCAGGGTGTTGGGCGTGCAGCCAAGGAAAGCCCAGCTGCAGATATGCCAGCAGGGTGAAAGGCTGTAGAGGGAGGCAAAAGGCATGGGGACTTCATCCTTACTTTTTTGTTTTCTCCCCTGGCAGAAAAACCTGCATCTCCATAACACTGAGGGCCACCGCAAATACCTGAAGCTGATGGAGAAGATCCCTGAAGATGCAGAGGCCACAGTGGTCCTTGTGGGTAAGAGGTGTCATGTAGAGTTCCCCAGCACCAAAAGAGACTAGTGCAGATCCTGGTCTGGCCCCAGCTGTCTGTTCTCTCCCTTCTGAGGGATATTTGGTCATCTTGTACATGTTCCCAAAGTTCAACTGGGTAGAGAGCCTTGTACCACTCTCTCCTTCGGTGATGGTGCGTGTTTTGTTTGTCTGTGGTAAATGTACAGGGTTACCAGAGTTTACCTAAATTAAGAAAGAGGTTGGTAGACTGCTGCTGGGAGCTGGGGCCCAACTTAGGGGACAAAGGCCCGCCACGCTCACCAGAACATCCCATTTTGCAGGTCAGAAGTGGGTAAGTGGTGCCTGAGGGACTGATGGCCAGGCACTGACTTCTGTCAGGCCTCACGCTGTCCTCTAACCATCACTGCCCTCTGTCTGGCCTCTTCACACCTCACCAGCAGCTGGGCCCTCCCCCTGGCCAGTGTTGGTTGCTGACTGTGTGTGCCAGGGAGCTTTGAGTTTATGGAAGCAGGGTCTGACTGGTGGCAAGCACTGCCAGGAGATATTTCTCTGTATGAGAGGGCTGTGAGTGGGCAGGCTTGGTGCCTTCTGACCACAAGAGTAGTCCTCAGCACTTTGCTGACATTAACAGCAAACGTAGCTACACTACAAGCAAAGTAGATGTCATTGCCTATCCAGTAGATGAAAAGCTCAGGCGAAGAGGCTTGACAGATCAGCCAAGCTAATGCTTAACCACAATGAGGCCAAATCAGCTTTATCACTTTGAATACTCAGATAACTAAACACTGGCCATTTCTGAGGTAAGGCTGTGTCTTGGGATTTGCTTGGCCTTCAGATGGTCCAGATTTGCCAGTCTAACACAGAACACAGCTCTTTGCTGGATGCAGATGGCAGGAAGATCAGTCATAATGCCAGAGAAATACAAGTATTCAATAAACATTTGTGTTCAGTATGGGAAGGAAGCGGCTGGTGTGCCAGAGGATGCGGGAGTACTTCCCAATCTGTTAGGAACTGAGGAGTATGCCAAGCATTGATGAGATTCAGACATTGTAAAACAAACTGTGCAGTTTGCACCTATGAGTCTTTAGAGAACTGGCTCATTTTCATCTGAAAAAAAGTTAAGAATACAGGGAACATACAAGAAAAAACAGAAGAAAGCTCATAGCATTAGTGCTCAAGAAGGGGTATGACAGTGATCCAGTACCTATAGGTTGTTTAACCTGACATCCTTCCTGGCCAGCATAATGGCAGAGCTAATATGGGATTCAATTAATAAGGAGCTAAATGATAAGAATGTAATTATTGCCAGGCAGTGAGGTTTATGGGAAATAGGTCATGCCAAGCAAACTTGACTTCATTCCTTGATAAGATTAGAAGTTTATTTGATAAAAGTAACATGTAAGAGACTTCCTTCCATAAGGCAGTGGCTTAGTGGAAAACAACCCTCTGATTTAAAATTAGGCCCTTATAGTGTAAGTAAAGCCTGTATGTAAGAGATTAAGAATGGTCCAACTGGGAGATAAAGAAAGTAGCACTGCTTGGGAATGATTAGTGAACAAGGCACTTGGAGCAGTCCTGGGCATGAAGCTCAATGCTGTGTTGGTGGTCTGGAGACAAGTACAGGACTGCAGGGCTTGTGGGAACCCCCGAAATCCCTGTTTCCACTGTTAAAGGCAGCCCAGTACAGCTCACCCCAGTGATTCACTCTGCTCAAAACATTGCCTTCTGGTAGGTTGTGTGCAGTTCCTGGAGCAGCCAACTATGGCCTTTGTCCGACTAAATGAGGCCGTCTTCCTGGAATCTGTCTTGGAGGTCCCGATTCCTGTCAGATTCATCTTTGTGCTGCTGGGACCGAGCCAGGCCAACATGGACTACCATGAAATTGGCCGCTCAATCTCCACCCTCATGTCCGACAAGGTGAGGAGCTGATGGGCGGTGATGCTGACACAGGTGAGGAAGCTTTGGTAGCTCCTCAGAAGTCAGTCCTGGGACAAGAGTGCTGAGAGATGCTGTGCCAAGGCCCAGGTGGAGCACCTGGGATTTTTAAGAGTAGCCTGGCTTGACCAAGGTAGGATGCTCCAGTACAGAGGGAAGAGTAGGATAGACACTTGGCTGGGACAGAGAGTGCTAGGCTGGGTGAAGAAGGGGGCCATATGTAAAAGCAGGAGCAAAGGACTGCCCGAGGTTAGAGAAGCTGTTTTCAGTTGACGTTTCACAGGAGGGAAGGCTGAGCAGTGCCTGCGGCCATGATGCCTGGCCCAGGCCACACTGACAAAAAGATTCAACAGTGCTTGGGGACTGTTGTCAGGTGTCTGGATGAAGCTTTCTAGCTGAGTCCCATGGCTGGGGCATCCATGCAGAGGAGCACATCCATACAGGTGAAGAGATGAGGAGGCAGGAAGGTTTTTCTGCCAAGCGTGTGCACTGCTAGAAATCCTCCATCTGCCTAGATGGCAGGAAAGTGAAATTCATTATCCTAGTAAGGAATGAAAGGCAAAGAAAAGACAATCTGACTGTCTGCTGCACACATCCAGGACAGGAGAATCGGAGGTTCACAGGCTCCTCCTGGCTGATGCCATGTAACTAGAACTGACTATCAAACCTACCTGTGCTGCCACCAGTGCACAATTCTCCCTGAACTGGGGACTAAAAGGTTGTGGGCAACAAGGGCTCTCAGCTGCAAGGTTCCCCAGGAGCTGCACAGGGCTCAGTTGAGACAGTGGTTTTAGCCATATGAGGTGTGGTGCCATAATCCAGCTTCAGCACTGTGTTTCTGGGCTGATCTCACTCATTTGAGCCTCTGCTTCTCTTGCTGGAAGAGGGTAGCCAGCTGCCACAGCCCGGGCTGGCTGTAGCAAGGTTACACAGTGGCTGGCGCCATCAGGGGCGTATGGTATCATTTACAGTTTGAAGCTGTGGCTCCAGGGAGTCTGTGTGATTCAGGGACCTTAACTGTGCCCTACCTGCTTCACAGGCTGTTCACTTGTTATCTTCCTCCAGCCCTTTCTCTGCAGGCACATTCCAGAGGCAATGCAGCACTTCCACCCCTTTTCCAGCACCTCCCTGACTATCTGCAGTAGTGCTGTCCCCTCATGGTGTCTTTGGAGTCTTTCCTTGTCATCTTGCCTTTGCTGTCAGGAGCATGTCCCCTTCTCTGCCTGGTTTTCATTGTATGTCTTCCCTCATGCTGTAGACTCCTATTTTTCCTCCCTCTCTCATGTGGAGATGGCTCTTATGCTCCCTGCTCAGGTCCTGGTTCTTGTTCTTTACCTGCAGTGCTTCAGTTCTCCACCAGCTTCTCCCTCAAAACAAACCCAAGACCAAACTAGGAGGTCTGTTGCAGAGTCCTGATTTTGAGTTGCAGGGACAGGAAAAGCCTTTCATCTCTGGTGCCTTGCTTCTGGTACATCTCTGATCTGGGCTCTGCAGGACCAAGCAGTGGCATGCAGAGCTAGGAAGGAGAAAGATCTTGGCCTGCTGCAGCCATAGTGATCTGGTGTGAGTAGAGGCACAGGCTGGCCAGCTGCAGCATCTAGCCTAGGGAAAGAGAAGCACCAGGTTAGCTCAGAAGCACAGATCTGATTTTGATTGATAGAGGGGTCCCATGAGAGGCACCCTGTGGTCTGGCAGAGTGTGCAGCTGGCAGAGATGCTGCAGGAACACAATCCTGGGCTAGAGCAGTGGGGTTGGGTGTGAAATGCAGGAGCAACTGGAAAGGATGGGTAGGTAAAGGAGGAGAGACATGGGACTAGGTGAGGGGCATTGGACAGGACAGGGAGGAATGATGCAAAAGTATGGGACACAGGGTGGCTGTAGTGAGACAAGCAGTGGGCCAAAGGAGTGGGATGCTACTGTATGGTCACAGCAAACATCATGTTTCCAGGCTGTAGGTAGCTGGGTGCAGTCTTGGTCTGAGCCTTCTCCCTCTCTCTCTTTCCCTGCCCCTCCCAGCACTTCCATGAGGCTGCATACATGGCAGATGACCGTCAAGACCTCCTCAACGCAATCAATGAGTTCTTGGACTGCAGCATTGTCATCCCCCCGTCAGAGGTGGAGGGGAAAGACTTGCTTAAGTCCATTGCTACCTTCCAGAAGCTGCTGCTAAGGAAGAGGAAGGAGAGGGAGCAGAAGTCCATGAAGGAGGGGGCTGTCCAGGAAGCCAAAGGTCTCTCCACTCACATTTGGGCAAAAGAGTTTGTGCCTAGTGCCCTGCGTGCCCCAGTGGGCCCTCCCCTCACAGAGCCTGGCAGAGGGGTGAGCGGGGCCTGGCTCCTGCAGTGGGCAGCTGGGAGGGGGGCAAGGGGAGGCAGGACAGTGGCTGTGGGAAGCTCTGGCAGTTGGGGGTAGCTGGAGGCAGTGGGATGTGCAGTCGCAGGTTAGTGCTGCCAGAGGAAGGTCTCCACGGGGTGTGGGTGAGAGGGACAGCCCAAAGGCAGACCTGCATTCCCCTGCTCAAGCCCTGCCCTCCGTGCACCTCCAGAGCTGTGTGAAGTGAAAGCTGAGGAAGAAGAGGAGGAAGCTGAGGACGACCCTTTGAAGCGGACCGGGATATTTTTTGGAGGTCTGGTTCGGGACATAAAGCGCAGGTACCCCAAATACCTCAGTGACATCAGAGACGCCTTGCACAGCCAGTGTCTCGCGGCCGTTCTCTTCATCTACTTTGCTGCTCTCTCTCCTGCCATCACCTTCGGGGGACTCCTAGGTAATGGGACTGCTTTCTGGTCTGCTCTTTGCACGCTGGGACACTGGCTGTGTCTGTGTGGTGCTGTGCTGGGGTGGGCTTCAGTGCTGCTCGCTCAGGGAGAGTGGCAGTGCTGTGCCTCAGCTGCTGCCTTGTCCCCTCCCTGCCGCTTGGCCTCTTCAGCCTCGGCTCCCTGGGCTCCCTCTGCGCTCCCTGCTGAATGCAGGGGACCTCTGACTGATGGGATGGGGACCTGCCTCCTTCGTCTAGAGCTGCGTCTGCAGCCTGCCTGCCTGCGGTGACAGTGCCTGTGTATGGGCTATAACATTCACACGTTGTTCTCTTCCCCAGGAGAGAAAACTGAGGGTCTCATGGGGGTCTCCGAGCTGATAATCTCCACCTCGGTTTTAGGAATCCTATTCTCCCTGCTTGGAGCCCAGCCGCTCCTGGTCATTGGCTTCTCAGGGCCTCTGCTGGTGTTTGAAGAAGCTTTTTACAAGGTACATATGAGGCAGTGTCCGTGCTTGGCGCCTGCTCGCTCTGCCCTTGCACTAGGAAGGGCAGCTGGCATTCCTCAGCTCCCCAAAGGGTCTTTGGTCATGTGGACTCTTGGGTCCTGCCAGGCTGCTCTCAGCTTGGCCGGGGCTGGTTCTGGCTCTGCTGACCCTTTGCAGATGCCATAGGGACTTCTGTCTCCTGTTGCCATATCCTGTGGACTGACCCCCTGAGGTGTGACAGTGGTAACAGCACTCCTCTACCTGCTGACCTGTGAGAGGAGCATCCCCCAGCCCTGTGGTGCAGCCCATCCTGGCACAATGAGCACTTGTAGCTGCATCCTAAAATACTGGTCTATAAGACTCGCTTGTTCTTGGGGCTTCCTTTGAAGACCATTTCACAACTTTTACCTGTGTCCAGGTTTCCTTGTATGGGAACCCAACAACATTCAATGTACCATCCATTTGGGATGTCCCACGTACATTGCTCCTACCTCTCAGGATGAGCCCAAGGGTATGTGCAGAGATATCCTGATCAGCCAGGATGGACATGTTTCTTTCTCAAGTAGCATGACCACTGTTAAAAACATCCCTGTGTCACCCTACCTCCAAGCAGTGGGTCTAATCCTTCTCCTTTTTTCTGACTCATAGCATGTCTAGGCTTTTAAAGCATGTGTTTTCCTACAGCTAGATTTTCACCTTGGTGTGTCAAAAGTTTGGAGCTGGTGATACCATTGCACAGTGGGAATTTCTCTGCTCTGCTTTGACCTCACTTCTTACTGACTGCTTTTGCTTTGCCCAGTCACTGTGTATGAAGGTGTACCTCTGCCCCATGTGAGGGCACTGTCTGTGGTGGTACCAAAGGAAGACTGCAAAGTTGGGGGGGATGTGATTTGTGCTAGAAGTAGCTGGTGTTGCTATGTGTGTGGATGAGCAGAAGCTGTGGGGATGGTCTGTTCTGTGGTGACAGCCTGGGGGCTTTTTGACACACATAGAGCTGTCTGTGTGCTCAGGGCACTGTCTGGGATCATGCCCCAGCTAACAGAGCCTTTATGCAGCAGGACACTGAAGGCTGCTCAGGTTCTCCTTTGTGGGGAACAGCCTTATGCTGTGGCATGCATGGGGAGAGCTATGTTTGAGTAATGGCACCTCCATATTGGCGGGATGGGGAGTACTGTGCATGGGATGGCTTCAACAGAGAGTGAAGGAGGTATTGTTACAGCGGCTGGAAGGGTAAAGACCTGCTTGATGTGAGCTGGGTGGTGTTAATGCAAAGTCTGAAACTTTACCTGTGACTCCAGCCCTGAATTCACTGTCTCTGCTGGGTACCTGAGCAGATGTCGATGCTTTTTCCAGGAGAGTCTTTGATCTTAACGGGGAGTAAATGTGGGAGGCAGCCTGAGGAGCCATGAGTAACTCCCTTCCCTTTCCATTTCAGTTCTGCCAGACACAAGGCATTGAATATCTAACAGGCAGAGTCTGGATTGGTTTGTGGCTCATCGTCTTCATCTTTATTATCGTGGCAGCTGAGGGAAGCTTCTTGGTGCGCTACATCTCGCCTTTCACCCAGGAGATCTTTGCTTTCCTCATCTCCCTCATCTTTATCTATGAGACCTTCTACAAACTGTACAAGGTGAACCTTCCCCAGGAGACGGGCTGCCGCATCTCTTGGTCCCCCAGGAACCTACTGCTTTAGCATACAGGAGGCAGGGGATCAGGGCCAGCTCAGCCACAGCTTTCCTAGGCAGTCTGCAGAGCAGTTCTTTGCTGGCCTCTCATGCCCCAGCCCAGCTGACCCCTGTGCCACCACAGAGGCTGGCAGGATGATCCCTAACATCTATCTCCCCTTCTCTTCCTGCAGGAGACATTAAAGAGGGGCCACTTTTCTCTCCCCAGCCCTCTCCAGCTGGGTAGGTTGCGAGGCGAGGTGACGGATGCTGGGATTGTCCATGCCCACCATCTACTGCCCTCACCGCTCCACAGAGCAGGACACCTCCGCTTCCCCCTGCCCCCAGTAGTGACAGTGCCCCCTGCCCCTCCTTGAGGTGACAGTGCCTGCTGCTTCTCTCACCTGCCCAGGTGTTTGCAGAACATCCTCTGCTGAAGTTCTACCCACCAAATGCGCAGAGCGGCCTGAATGCCAGCATGCTCTCTGCAGATGCGATGTCCCTGGGAATCAGGATGCAGCCCAACACTGCTCTCCTCTCCCTCATCCTCATGCTGGGCACCTTCTTCATTGCCTTCTTTATGCGCAAGTTCAAGAACAGCCGTTTCTTAGGAGGAAAGGTGAGAAGTTTGTGGGACCCAGATGTTAAGGACAAGGGATGTGCCAAACAAGTAACACTTCTTGCTACAGGTTTTGTTCTCCAGAGCATTTGGACCATCCCCCAAAGAAACACCAGCAATCCCTTAAATACAATGTGGAAGGGGTGGTAGCCTGACCTAGGCTGCAGACCAGAGCGGGCTGTTGATGATGATATCTGCACTGTTCTGCTCCAGTGAACTTTGCTGAAAAGTCCTCTAGACCTTGGGAAAGCTCCTCTGGCTGGATACAACAAGTCTGTTAAACTAGAATATAGGGGGAAAAGTTTATGACTTGTTCCCTTTGGACATCTCTGTACATGCAGAGCATCTGTGTAATATCTGGAGCACCATCCTGAATAGGCCAGTAGGAGCAATCACCCAGTCACTTAGGAGCAGCTGTAGGACTGTGTGCTATGTAGGCAGTGGATGTGTAGCTCCATGCGTCACGGCTGGGTGCCCTTGCCCTGCTTGCCAGCAATGCTCGGGTTTGCAGTGGTGCTTGGCCCCATCTGAGGCTTCTTTTTGCCACAGGCTCCCCGTAGCAGGGTGGGTACACGGAGCCGGTCCGTTCCATTTACCAGTGAGGGTGTTTGTTCCGCAGGCTCGGCGGATCATCGGAGACTTCGGGATCCCCATCTCCATCCTGGTTATGGTGCTAGTGGATTACACCATCACTGACACATACACGCAGGTAGGCACCAGTGTCGACCTCAGAACCCCTCCTGTAGCCCCACAGTGATCCCTGTGGCACCGTGGCCTGCTCGGAGCAACAGGGGATTTGTAGTTCCTGCCTCATTAGTCATAACAGTGCAAAGCAGAGATGCTCCCCTTGCCTTCACTCCCACACTGAAGGGAACTTGAAGGGTCTTGCTGAGACTGAGATCAGAGCTACAGGGACTGGAGTGCCCTGGTATCTATCCCTCTGGTATTCCAGCTGTTAGTAGGGGAGGCTGTAGGGGAACAAAGAGATTCAATGCAGTTAATTCCTTGTTTGTAAACTTTCAGTCACTCAACAAGACAGAAACTGGCTATGCATACTGAAGGGGGTGACATATAGAGTGGTTTCAGTGGGGTACTTGTCATGGGTTTAGTACTTAATATGTTCATACTCTCCTTGGTTATAGGCTATTAAATATTTTGATCACTTTATCTGAAACACAATGATCTCTTTCCTAGTTTATACACAAATTTAAATGTTATCAAACAAACCCAATTCACAGGTTTCCTCCCCACCCCTCCCCCTTTTTAGCAGATGTGTATTATATCTTTTTGATTTGGTATTTTTTTCAACTAACATCAGGGAGAGGGTGAAAGGTAGTTCCTGTTCAGCATGCAAGCTTTTTATCAAGACAGCCCAAGGGTTAACGGAATCCAAATGCATTTTTATTCATTTAAATTTCAATGAAAAATCTGGTTTTATCAGATGTTAGTAAAACCATGCCCTTTGTAACATCCTTTTCATACCCTTCTATACTTCTACAATTAATATCAAAAGCATGATCATTTAAGTATTAGTTCAGCGTATGTACAGAGCTTTCCGAGAAAACGGTAGTTATTTACATGGCTTAGCTCAAGTACAAGCATTCCAGGAATATTATTCATACTTATGCTGATTAACATAAATGCAAATCATAAACTCTCCCTGCAGTGCTCATGCAGGCAGATAGCAAGAACTGCTGTAGAGCAACACAGAGCCGAGAGTTCAAATGCTGGTAAATGCAGGGTTGAGAGGGATAATGTACAGCTAGGAGTCTGTGTGGTCTCTGATGGGAGCACAAACATGATATTCTCTCTGAACATGATCAGGGTGAGGTCATTTTCGGAGAATGTGGCCACTTCTGGGGTCCACACTTCAAGAACAACACTTAAAAATGTCTCAAAAAAGTCTTGGAAAGCCTGGAAAGCCACCTCAGAGAAGGGTAGGTAGTTCAGAACACATGATTTGTCCAAGCAGAGGTCAAGGAGCATTTTAACCATGGTCTGCAAGCACTGACATGGGGGTGAGGTTGCTGAGGGAAGATATTTCCTTGGTCTCTTGGACAAAAACCAAGGGAATTCCAGTAGTCGAAAGGAAATGAGACAGGCCCATGGTAGGGGACAAGGGATTTTTTTCACTGAAGGGGATTATCCATGAGAAAGTCCTGCTCGGGTCAGTGTGGCTGTCCTGTCATATGAGGCATTCAGACCAGGGAGGCCAGGAGGGTCAAGACTAGTCCTCTGTGAGGGTGTGGGTACGTGTCTATGGATGAGTAACTGCTTGGTTTTGCGGCTACACCACCAGAAGCTGAATGTCCCCTCTGGCCTGTCGGTCACATCTCCTCACAAGCGTGGCTGGTTTATTCACCCAATGGGCAGCAGTGGGACCTTTCCAATGTGGATGATGTTTGCCTCTGCCATTCCTGCCCTCCTGGTCTTCATTCTTATCTTCATGGAGACACAGATCACAACGTGAGTACCTTCCCCACCAACACCAACCATCACTAACCCCTGGGCAGGCAAGGCTGGGATGGGTGCTGGTGCCGTTCATGTGGAGATGCACGTGGCATCCAGCAGGACACCAAGGGCAGGATCCTGGCCATTTCAGACTGTACCTTCTTGGGTTCTCCCATTGTCTCTTGGCTCCACTCCTGGCGTACAGTGTGGTGGAGACCTGCCTCAGCCAAGCACAGGAGGAAACCTCTAACCTGAGGTTGACAGCCACCATCCCTCTCCTCAGCCATCTCCTTGTTGTCCCCATGTGTGCTCTCTCCAGGGAGTGAACATGGTCACCAGCCGTAGTGCTGTCCTTGGGCACTGGGATGGGCCTGGCACTGACCCAGGTGCTTATTCCTTCCAGGCTGATTGTAAGCAAGAAGGAAAGAAAACTGCTAAAAGGCTCTGGCTTCCACCTGGACCTGCTGCTCATTGGCACTATGGGGGGACTTTGTGCACTCTTCGGGCTGCCCTGGCTAACTGCAGCAACAGTGCGCTCTGTCACCCACGTCAATGCCCTTACAGTCATGAGCAAGGCCATTGCACCAGGAGAGAAGCCCAAGATCGAGGAGGTGAAGGAGCAGCGTGTGACTGGAGTGCTCATTGCTACCCTTGTCGGTGAGCCTCTGCTCGGGTGAAAGAGTGAGGGGGGAGGTCAGGGCAGACCACCTGAATCTCCAGGCAGCATCCCTGCCCCACGGGCCAGCCTGCACCCCGCTTGTTGCAGGACTGCCCCCACCTACACTCAGCTCTTCTCTGGCAACCTTTGATACCCTCCATGGTCAGTCCATCTTTGCAACCTTTCCAGCTCAAGACCCTCTTGAGCTTCCTTTCCCTTGCACCCTGGGACAGACAGAGAGGAAGCGGGAGAGGGACGGAGGCTGAAGTGCCTTGCAAAGGGACTAGCATGGGACACACCGTGCCCTGAGCTCTGTCTATGCAGGTCTGTCCATTGTGATGGGGAACATGCTGCGGCAGATCCCACTGGCTGTGCTCTTCGGCATCTTCCTCTACATGGGGGTTACTTCGCTCACTGGCATCCAGCTCTACGAGCGGCTACTCTTGATCTTCATGCCATCCAAGCACCACCCTGACCACATCTATGTTGTCAAGGTGAGCGAAGGCAGGTTGTGGGGAACAAGGTAATGAGGAGCAGAGGAAGAAGAGGCAGGTGAGGGGAAGATGGTGCTTTGCTAGAGTGATGCTTAACTTGGTGACCCGCCTTGGCTGCAAGTTTGTGCAGAGAAGTGTAAGCCATGCACAGAAGTGATACAATGCTAGGTTAGTGTGCTGATAGGCTGCACACAGGAGTGTATTGCCAGGATATTCATAGAAGCATAGAATGGTTTGGGTTGGAAGGGACCTTAATGATCATCTAGTTCCAACTCCCTGCCATGGGCAGGGACACCTTCCACTAGCCCAGGTTGCTCAAAGCCCTGTCCAACCTGGCCTTGAAAACTTCCAGAGAGAGTGCAGCCACAGCTTCTCTGGGCAACCTGCTCCAGTGCCTCACCATCCTCACAGTGTTGACTTTCTTCCTTATACTAATCTAAATCTACTCTCCTTCAGTTTAAAGTTCCTATTGTATGGATGGACTGTTTATTGGAGTGATGTATGGCTTGAGTGGGTGTAGGGATGCTGCTCTGCCAGGGGGGTATGCCGCTGGGTTGCAGAGAGGCTGATGCATTATGAAGTTCTGCCTTGCTGTTGGGTACAGGCAGGTAGAGCGTGCAGCAGTGTTGTGTAACTGTACTATGCTCTGCTGAAGGGTTATGTTTTGCCAGTTGGGTCTTCATTAATCTGTGTGGAAAGATAGTGTGTTCTTAGACTGGAATTACCTCCCTAGGTGAAGACCTGGAGAATGAATCTCTTTACCTGCATTCAACTGGCATGCATTGTGCTTCTCTGGGTGGTGAAATCTACAGTGGCATCCCTGGCCTTCCCCTTCGTCCTGATCATGACAGTGCCATTGCGACGCTTCGTGCTGCCCCGCTTCTTCCATGACAGGGAGCTCAAAGCGGTAAGTTCTCACAGTCTAGCTTGCAACACTGGAGTGAGGTTGGGGAGATTTGGCAGGCTGAAAGGCTTGGGAGGTCCTGGGCTGGCAAAGCCTTGGATTTTCCTGCTGGTGTCTGGGGGATCTTTGTTCAACAGCAGTAGGTGGGATGCAGCTTGTAGCCCTGGGAGTGGTGTGGGATGATGGATGGGCACCCTAGGGCAAGGAGACAGGATCCTACCACACAGAGGCCTGGAATAAGGATTTCCCCTTCCATCCTCCTCCCCATTTGTGGCTCATTTATCAAGAGACACCCCATTTCCCAACTGAGACAGCAGCAAGGACAGCCCAGCAGCACACCAGAACCTGTGGCTGCTTGGCAGAAGAGCACGTAACCACAGTGCCAGAGTGCTGGCAGCTCCTCTGCTGCTGTCAACATCCTGAACTCCTCTTGGAGAGCAGCCTAGAGCATCACTCAGAAGAGGGTGCTGCCAGCAGTGGTGGAGGGAGGAGCTGCTGTGCTCCACCAAAGTCCCAGTGATGGGGGACTGTCAACAGGAACACTTATAGGAAGGGGTATCAGGCTGGGAATACATGGATGGGCATGAGGAGAAAAAAAAAGGAGCCTGTTGGGAGCGGAAGGAGGGAGAGCTTTGCTCTTCCCAGTGCAGCCCAGCTGCCTGGTTCGCTGTGTGCTGATCCCTCCATGCCAGGCTTGACCCCACGCTGGGGGCAGCTGTGGCCTTCAGAGCCCGGTCTCTGCCTTTCCCCAGTTGGACTCGGAGGATGCAGAGCCAAACTTTGACGAGGACGGCCGGGATGAGTACAACGAGCTGCACATGCCTGTGTGAGCTGGAAGCTGTCCTCCCAGCTCATGGGACAGGCCACTCATGCCTGCTCATCCCTGCCAAGGACTAACTGGAGACTTGCCATGAGTCACGCGATCTCTTGCCTGGACCAACAAATGGCTGTTCCATAGCCCTGCAGGAAGCAGCCCCGGCTCCTGCTGCTCCATCGCTCGCTCAGCAGAGGCTGTGAGTCTCTCTCCTCTTGGACCTGGTGGGCTGGGAGATACCTCTCACATCCCAAAGCTGCGTGGGTCCCGAGTGCCCGTGGGTCAGGGGTCTGGCCCATCCCTGCTGGACGCGGCCTGTGCCTGGTCTCCAGGTGGTGAAGGGGAGCCATGCCAGCTGGTGCCACTGTGTCTCCCTCCACTACCATGGAGCTCGGGTGTCTCAGCACCACGTGCTACCAAGCGGTCACAAGGATGGGCTGGATGCTGCCTGCAGATGGCCAGTGGGCTTCTCCCAGGCCAGCAGCCTCCTTCCTTGGCTGGTGGATGCCTTGCTCCTGCTCCCTCTGCCCACTTCCAGGAGTGCTCACACTGGGCCTGTGCCACAGCCCTTGGTCAACGGCTGCTGCAGCCCGACAGAAGGGCAAGGAGGGACCAGCACCCTGGCACTATCCTCCAGACCATCATCTGTCCAGCCATCCTCCCACAGGACTGTTTTCAGCTCTTGCTCGGCATGGGGGAGACTGTTTGCTTCCTCCCAATTTTCCCAACAGAAAACCACACAGGGAGGGAAGGCTGGGGACAAGCAGGTATCCTGAAGCCCCCAGTGCCTGCCCTCCTGTGGAGACTAAGAGGATTACTGTGCCTTCTGCACCTCCACAGAGGTTGCAGGGGTAAAAGCTTATCACAGGGCTGCATCCCTGTTCCTGATCTCCACATTCCTGTCCCTGAGAACAAATGTTATTTGAGAAGTTAATACAAGAGATGCAGTGCTGGAGCACAAAACAGTCCTTTGGGTCCTCTCCCTTTCCCTGTGCAGTCATCCACTGGGTCTGACTCCCTGCAGCCCTACAAGGAAGTCACTGAAATTCCCAGCCCCAGTTCTGCTGCCATTCCAGGGTGACCTTTCACATCCAGGGGTGCCCTCCAAGTAGGAAGGAGCAGCATTCAGTATGCCCAGCACTCAGCCCCCATTGCTCTGGGCAGCTCCAAACACCTTTCTGCCTGGCTGGGCTGTCCCCGGGCTCTCCCAGGCCAGCAGCCCTCATTCAGAGCTGCCTCAGAAACTGCCGATGGTACCCTTGCTGCCTGTGGCAGCTCTGAGGGTAGTGCCAGAGGACATGGGCACCCAAGCCTCTCCCTGATGGTCAGAGCCAGAGTGGCCTTCTTGGAGGAGGCTGGGATGCTTGCTTCACCATTGGATTGGGACAAGCCGCTGCCCCAGTTCCTACTTATCAGCCTGGCTCCTGCGAGAGAAGGTGGGTGCTTCGTTACTGGGAGGGTCCGACACCTTCCCTGGGAGGCTGCAGAAATATCCCACCAGAGAGAGAAACCTCCCCACGCGGCAGGTTCCTGCCCCACAGCCTGGCCCCACTGCAGGGCATGGGGCAGAGAGACAGTCTCTGTGTGTCTGTGGCCGTGTGTGTCATGTCCTCCCCATGTAGTGTAGGAGGCCTGTTGTCGCTGTGCATTGTGACTCCTCTGACTGTAGTGGAAACAGCTACACCAATAAACTCTTCACAGGAACTGTGTCTGGCTCTCCGCTTTTGATAATTTGTAATAAATTCAACTGATTGAAATTCCTTGACACAAAATTGTTTCTTGCCCACAACAGCAGCCCACGAGGGAGCAAGCCCTAGCCAGTGGGGACTGTCACTGTGTCACCCACTACCAGCACAGAGGTGGGCTCTCCACCACCATCACCAAGCAGGCTGCTTACTGTGGGCCCAGCTGGAGCCTCCATGCTGGCTCTTAGAAACAGGAGGCTGAGCCCCTGTTATATATTTAACCAGAAACATGTACTCATGCCTGCTTGCATCCATACACACATGCATGTGTGTGCCTGTGTGTTCAGCAGCACTCAGTGCTCATCGTTTTACCCAGCCTGTAGCCACACACCAAATGGCAGGGTCACGGGCTGAGCACGGAGAAAACATCTCATTAAACACACGTTCTCTCCACACTTTCTTCCCAGGCAGGAGCCAAGCCAGGTCCCTGTGAGCTGCTGGCTGCCAACCCTGTGATGGGCTGGATGTCCTCCAGGCGTGCTCTCTAGGTGCTGCTGCTGGCCATAGGTGGTGGTCCCACCTCCCGTGGTCAGGGCCACTGGCTGCTCCTGGGGCTGGCTGCTGCCATGGGGCATGTGAGAGAGGGCTGAGCTCACCCGGGCGCAGGGGCGGTGGCTATCTTGCTTCTGAGCTGGGCCCTCTGTGAGACGGGCAGTGCCTGGCCTCCCAGCATCCTCTCCAGGTCCTGGCAGCACTGCTGAACCTGCAGGAGAGGAGGCAGCATGGGTGGCCATCTCCTGAGCATCCAGGTGGGCTGGATGGGAGCATCCATGAATGTTTCCCACAGGCTGCTCCACCACATTAAGAAACACTCCCATTCCCCAGTCCACGTCTCTCCTTCCTCACATCTGAATGCCCAGGGCTGCCCAATGGACCATCAGTTTTGACTGGAGAGGTTATGGCTCTACCCAGTCTCACAAGATCCATGTCTAGCCCATGACAGTGCCTCCGCTCTCACCCTGGAATGCAGGGTAGGGAGGGACTGCTAGCAGAGCCAACGCATGCCCCTTACCACATCGATCCTCCGGACAAGGATGGGCATGACCTCCAGCTCCAGCAGCCAGTCAGCCTCCAGGATGCTGTGGTGGTACTCCTCCAGCTCCAGGCTCTTCTGCAACTCCTCAGCCAGGGCATCCTGGTGCCAGCGACCTCCCATACCCGTACCTGGGCTTTGCCAGGGCTGGGCCAGCTCCATCCTCTCACCCTGCTGCTGCAGGCGCAGGACATGGATGCGCTGGGCAACATGACAGACCTGGGCATGCAGGGCGGCCACCCGCTCCCCACAGTGCCGCAGGGCCAGCAGCTCCTCTTGGCTCTCCCGCAGTTGGGCTTGCATCACACTCGCACTGCTGCCTGTGCCCGAGGGCTGCAGCGGGACCAAGAGGTCGGGCAAGCTCAGGGGAGAGCTGGGCTGCTGAGGGGCCCTGCCATGCAGTGGGGGCTGCACAGTGCTGGGAGCCTGTGGCTGCTGTGGCTGCGATGGTGATAGTGATGCTGATAGTGGCCGGGAGAGGCTGTACCTGCTGCGGTGGAGACGGACCCACTGCCAGGCGAGCTCTGCCATGGCCAAGCTTTGGTGAAAGACATCAGGGACCAGCCGCAAGACCTTCACAAAGGGCCCCACATCAGCGAAGCCATGCAGGTCATGCAGGCTCCAGGGGCTGAAGACCCGCTCGCTGAGGGGCCCCCCCTGCAGCAGCAGCCCCCAGTTACGCCGGTGGGTGAAGAGCTGTGTGGCCAGGTGTGGGATGGATGCTGGGGGGGACTGCTGGTTGGGGTGGGTGTCTGGCTCCTCGTGCATGTACAAGTTTTCACAGAGTGGGACCACCACCCTGGCGTCGAACATCTCCTTCAGCGTGCTCAAGTGCTGCAAGTACGAGGCCAGCCAGCCAACGTAGCTGGACACATCAGGGCTGGCCGAGCTGGGCCAGCACTGGACAAGCCTCTGCAGGTGCTGCCAGCTCTCCACCTGCCCCGAGGGGCTCTGTGGCAGCACCAGCAGCAGCACCTGGTACAAGCTGTGCAGGTCGAAGCCCTGCTGGCACTGCTGCACGTGCCTCACAAAGGCACTGATCTCCCCTTCGAGGGCAGAGTAGAGGGCTTCCATGGATGGCCACGACGATGGAGAGGAGACAGACAGGATTGCAGCTCACCCACACGGTCCTGGGCCCTGGATGTGCTGGAAAATGCACTGCACCACAATGGTGCAGGCAGGATTGCTGCAGGGGCTCTGGTCTGGGTCGTGCATGGGCTCAGCCAGCAGACTGTGCTATCAAAGGCTGGCGTGCTGCTTCGAAGGATGAGACATCTGGCCAGCTCAGATGAGTTAGTCCTGGTTGCTCTGGTGGAGAGGAGACAGTGGATGGGTTGGGAGAGGTCAAGAGGGATGGTCTGGGGTGGGAGGAGTTAGGGAGCTGCAAGGGGTGAGCCCAGTGGGGTACCCTCACTTTTGTGGGACCAGGGGAAGAGGGAGAGGCTGCTGGGTACTGCCACACCAGGAGGAAGCTGAACGACGAAATGCCAGTGCCAGTGCAGTGCGGGGAGAGGAGCCAAGAAGCTGCCTGCAGCCCCAGAGAATGCTGATGCAGGTGGCGGAGAATACTCTGTGTGCCCACAGTCCCCCAGCTGCCTGGGGGATGCTCTGGGATGGGGCAGGTGTTCTCCTGCTCCCTGGAAGGGGACTTGGTCATGCCAGACCAGGACTGCACTCTGACCAGCAGTTTCTCCCACCTCTTTGATGTTTGAGAAGAGGTTTATCTTTACAAAAGTAAGCTGCCACCCTTGTCTCTCTGGAGAACTAAAAATAGGAGGTCTGTTCCCAAAACTATCAACTGTATTATTTTAAACCATTGCATGTTTAGGCAAACTATTTGGGTTTCTGTTTCTGCCACCCGGGTTCAAGTACACTCTAGCTATCTTCTTCAGCTATTTTTATTCTCCACAGCCAGGAGGGGCTGGCACATCTCTGTTGTGAGATACCACTGGCACCCATTCACATGGCTGTACGGCTGGGAAATTGCTGGCTAAGACCATCCCAAGACAAAACTGGGAATCAGTGCCCCTGGCAAAGTTTCCTCTTACCCCTGTATATCTGGAAGTCCTTATCTGGGCTTCGGTGTTTGCTTTTCAGGCACACAGACCACTAAAATAAATTTTAAAATGCTTTTTCCTCTTCTCTGTGTGGAGGGTTTGAAAGCCCTGCACCTGGGGAGGCAGGTAAAAACGGCAGGAGGCAGCAGCATGGCACATGCCTCACACTGGCAGGGGTGAGTGGCTTTGCTTGCATTGGCCTTCCCCAGAAAGTGTCTGCAAGTGGCTTTGTTTAAACATGAGTTTGGGGAGACCAGAGCGGATGCTAAGGGGGAAGATGCCTGTGTATGAAGCCCCAGAGACCAGCTAAAGAGCAGCCCCAGCTCATGGCTGCCGGGGCCCGGGTCGCTGTTGCAGATGCTGAGGACCACCAGCGAGTGTTGCCAAGCAAAGGTGACCCCGCACATCCCTGCCGCGGCTCCAGCCCCACGCTCCCTGCCCCCTTCTGCCCTCCATCCACCTCCCCTCTGCACCACTCAAAAGAAGGGACTCACCAGCCCCAGGAGAGGCACCAGGGAGAGGAGAAAGGGCTGATCTGGACCCTGCTGCCTGCCAGGGGAGGAACCTGCCCTCCTCGGGCACGAACACACACCTTTCTCCCCATGGGAACGGCAGGTTCGGACATGTCCCTCACGCCAGAGCCAGCCTTTCCTGGAGATGGTTGCCAGCCCCACGGGCATTGCCACAGAGCTACAGGGCAGAGATGCAATTCCCTCCAGCACTTCTCCCCCGCACAGGTCTTTGCAAAGGATGCTTCTCTTGCAGGGTTGCCTGACTCCTGGGCACAGGCTCGGATAGCACATTTCTTCAATATAAGTGAGTACTCCTGTGCATGGCTCTGAATTTATCCCAAAGGCTTGCCTGGCCTTGGCAAGAGAGATCCTTCTTAGCCTTGGGTGGTTGGCTGCCTGCCTGCTACCTTGTGCCCCTGCCCTGCCCCTCCCAATGCACCGTCCTTGAAGGGCTCTTCAGCTCTCCAGCTCACTGAGGTGCCTGTGCTAGGACTGCTCCCCAAAGGGACTCTCAGGAGAAGTAAATAGTCTCTTGAGGGAATGAGAAGGGGAAATGGGAGCAAATCCTCTGTTAGAAACCTCTGACAGGGACAGCATCTCTGGAACAGGAGTCTGACACCAACAGTTCCCCTTCCACCTCTTCCCAGCTGCCCATGGGAGTAGGACCCTTGACCACGGTGCTTCAGCCTCCTCAGCGAGCAAGTCCTTCCTGCTCAGAGAGCTGCTGGGGCTGTGCCCAGACCTCCTGCCTGGCGCCAGGACCCCATGGGGAGGGAACCAGGGGGCCCCAGCCAGGAGCAATTCCATGAGGACAGTGCTGGGATACTTCTCCTGCCTGTGCAAGGTTCCTCGGCCGGGTTGCATGCTTTTGGCTGGGGTGCACCTACCCACAAGCTGCCATGTCTTGCTGTGCAGAGGGGGCTCACATGAGCTCTCCTGAAGAGAGGGGCAATGATGCTGTAAGGTCAGGATGGGGAAGGCTCAGCCTGAGCTCTGAAACATGACTGCCATAGTTTCTTCCCTGTAAGGAGCAACAGGGAGGTGGGCTGGCACCCATCAGTGTCCTGCCTCTCTCAGATGGGGCCATGCAGTAGCCAGCACAATGGGAAATGCTGAGCACCTGTGCTGCACAGCATCCTCCATCACTCTTGCCACATTGCTCTTTGTTCTCCTGGGCCATGGGCCGCCAGATGTGACCTTGCTGCTGAACAGGACAGAAGAGTAATCCTTCTCTTGTGACTTCTGCGGGGGGGGGACGACATTGCAGTCTCTGTGGCAAGAGCCCAGATGGATGATTGCCTTCATCTATGAGCTCGGTGTCCCTGGAGGATGTCCCCCTCTCCAGCATGCAGGGTA